GATGTGGATTTATGAGCTTGGGCTGGGGATGTAGGCTGGAACTAATCTCTATACGGGTCGTTGACGTAAGGATTCCGACATGGATTATCTGCCCAAAGGGAACCGATCCCATTTTTTACTACCTCATGGGCACCTGGTCCGATCCCCCTCTGGAGGGTGCCACCCTCTACCCCTTAACCACCTTCTGATCTCAATCCCTCATGCAAGATCGATCCCAATCTATGTGTGGCAACCGCAATCGCAACCACCCTCCACATGCACGCACGGGACAGGCATGGTATGTATGTATGTATGTATGTATGTATGTATGTATGTATGTATGTATGGATAAAGAAGTGTAAAAGGGTAATCCGACTTGTGCTGCCCAGCCCAAGAGCTTACATTACATTACACTCACTCGGGATACCCGCACCAACCCAACGAAGCTGAGACACACACACACACACACCCACCCCTCCCATTACCGTCACACACACACAACATACACACACAAGAGAAGCTGGAGAGGAAGAGGGGCCGGCCGAGGCGGCCGGCTGCGTCTGCGTCTGCGTCTGCGTGGGCTTGGGGGTGGATGGCTGGCTTGAGGGATGGCCACGTCGCAGTTTAGATTGGGGGGGGTTGAGCGTGAGGGGTGAGGGTGAGGGTGAGGCTGGTTTCCGGGTGTGCTGTGCTCCCCCCTTGCTTGCTTTGCTTGCTTACATCGCACCTTGCCCAGCTAGCTACCCTGGGCTGGGTATTGTCTGGGTGGGTGCGGGGTTGTGGGAGGGAGGTGACGTGATGTGATGGGTGCTGTGGGGGGTTGTGCGTGTGTGGGTGAGGCTTGCTTCTTCTTTTTTTTTTTTTTTTTTTTTTTTTTTTTTTTTTTTTTTTTTTTTTTAATGGTGATGGGGGGCGGGTGGTTCTGGATTTCTGTTTCCTGTGTGTATGTACCTCATGTGAGAGTTGTTTCCCTCTCTCTCCGTCTTTGTTAACTCCCCCCTTCCCTATACGCACTCAACTAGGTAACTGGCCCCCGGAGTTGCTTCACTCCCTCGGTTCGACGCCTTCCAGCAAGGTTTGCCCGAGGCTCTTCGTCTCGCCCTCCCCTCGCCCGTTCGAAACGGAGCTCGGCATCAGACACACATATGCCGTGTGCCTCTCGTGTGTGCTGTTACACATGGCCGGGTCGCATTGTTTGCAGTAGACAACCCGGCCAGCCAATTGTCGAGCGGTTGCTTTACCGAGTGCTGTCTTCGTGTCTTCTTGCCTTCCCTGAAGTGGCCTGATCCCGGGTGTGCACCCGTCTTACTTCGTACCGCAGGCTCGTTTGGTGGTTTCGAAAGAGCCTCCTGGTCGGATCTCTCGTCGGACTCCCGGGGAGGGTTGTCCTCGGCGGATCACTAACCGTGACGCGGCAAACAGCGCGTGCTCGGGCACCTGAACAAGCCACGATCCACGATATCACAAGTCCAAACAATGCATCATTTACGCCGGCATCGGCATCGACAGGATCCTCGTCTGTCAATCTGCAGTCACCCGGGCTCTTGGGGACCAGGTCAGACAATGCGAGGCAAGGGGTCCAGTCGGTCGATGCCGTACCCGACCAAACGCCTAGGATCCCTAGGATCCCTAGGATGCCCTAGGATCCTAGGCGGTAGAGATTGGCCGCGAGCGGGCTTGAAAGTTCCATTTGCTTGTCTGAGACGGGGGTCGGACTAAGATTTGAGATTGTATCACAAAGGAACTGCCACCGGGTCTCGGGGTCTAGAGTCTACCCGTCGGGCATCAGATGGCCATCAAACGATGGTTTTTCTAGAACAACGTCCCCGAGCGGCGGAGAGTTGGTGGCGCAACTATTACCGCAGGTGCGTGCGACAATTATCAGCCCGCGGAGTTGCACCCGAGAAATGTCATTGGTTGGTTTTACTCTTCGTACCGTCGTCGTCTTGGGGCTGGAGTTGCTTTGGCGCACTCGCTGTGAGACTGGCCCTTTCTGAGGATGATACGCACTGTGTTGGGAGCTACCGTTTCTTTTTCTTTTTTCGTTTTTTTTTTTTTTTTTTTTTGCTTTTTCATACTCTGCCACTCCGCCTGTTCTGAGCCGTCCTTAGGAAACTGCAACGCTGCGAGCCTGTTGGCCGATCTTGCATGTTGGTGATTTCCCGATTTGGGGTCTCTGCCCGGGCTACCCAGTGCGCGTCGCAGAACCCCAAGCACCCTGAATCCCTTGGCACTTACTGTGTAGACCCCGAGGACGGGAGGCAAGAGGAAGGCAGAGACATGCATTGCATTGGCGAAGTGCGCAGGCGTGGTTGCCTTAATTCTGGCCGAGCCAATTGAGTGTTGTATTGGATGATCACCATCTGCCGGCTGGCGGTTTTGGGCGCGCTTGCCGCCGAGCCCGTCGCGTGCTGAGCTCATGGCAGGTGACGTCAGTGGGGTTGCTTGGCTTCGGATGGTTAATCGCGCTCGCTAATCTCGTTGCGATGGGCAAGATCGTGCTACCCTGCCGCCTCGAGCCTGCTTCCCTGTCTCCCTGTCGCTGGCTGGAGCCTGTTTCCCTGCCGCCTTCCTCCATAAAACATAAATAGCTCGAATGGGTGTTGGCACGGTCCAAGGTGAGTTGTTTTTCGGAGATTGAGGATGTATTTGTTTGGGGGCCCTGCGCATCAGACGGAGGCAACTGCCAACCTGCCGGCAGAGTCAGTGAGTTTGTTAGTTATCTGATCCGATCAATTGATTGGCAGTTTGCGACCCCTCCTCCGGAAATCGCGACATCTCGAGACGGGAGCTGATCCGGCCAGTGTCGATATTTCGGGGTAGCACTGTGCGGTCTGTTGTGAGATCGATGTTTGCACTTTAAGGGTCCAACACTGCGTACAGCGTAATTGCCTTCATACAGTTCACGAAAAACGCTGCCACAGGCCTTCAACACAGTGCGCTTCACGTTGACTTGCGCAAGCACGGCGGGGCCGGGCCAGCAGCCTACCTGGCTACCTAGAAATGTTTGCACAAGATCTCGATCCATCCCTTCGATCCGGCCATACCACGCGAGATTAACCTTCCGAGGACCAGATCCGGCGCCCAACGGCCTCGTGTTTTTGTCGTGGCCCTGCGTGTTTGCTTGATTTTTCGGATTCCCGGGCCGCCGCGGGCGCCGTGGAAGGTCCGCAGGGGAAAGAGCGGAAAGAGCGTTATTTGCAACTGCCTGAGGAGGACTTGATGCTTTTTCCGTTCAAACTTGGAAACTCCCCGCACTCGCGATACCGGACCCATCCCTCCCCTGCCTGGCATCTCAAGAGCGGGATGGGCTGGTTGCTGCAGCCTCCCGATCCAGCGGCTTGCTTCGTGTCACCATGTCCTCGCCGACGCTTGCACTTTTAATGCTGGCGGCCCGTCTCCTCGAGGCCACCCCCGGAAAAGTTGTGCACAAACACCATGCCCGACCGTCCCATGGACCGACCTCGCATTTTTTACCCCTTCGTGGCGTGCCTCTCAAATTCGCGCTATTGGACTGCGCTTCCGCTTGCTGCCCAAGCTATGACCGACTCACTGACCACAGCTAGTTAGGAATTGGACACTGCCCAACAAGCCTGCGCCGCGTCTCGACCTGGGCCTATGTGCTTGCCATGGCGTTCTAGTCTGAAACGGGCCTCTGTCCGGCTCGTTGTCGTCGGACTTCAAACGTTATCACATCCCCCGTCCGTTTTCACATTCTTTTTTTACTTCCCTGCTGAGCTGATGTCGATGTATAAATATGCGGAAATCTAATTCGCAAATAGAAACCAATATTAGAAATCCATAAACCATGGCTTTGCCGGGCTGTCACCTGGCTGTCACTACTCGGTTTCTCTTCTCATTGTGGCGCTGTGACTGTTGGAGGCAGCAACATCGGCGGCCGCTTTGGGCATGCTGCGGGACGGTGCTGGCCACTAACAGCTGCACCGTGACTGCTGCTCCTTGCCGACCTAGGTAGATATTCTGAGCTCGCAGCTCGGCTAACTACCCCTTCAGGACTGCCGACCATCCTAGCCGCCAGGACACGGCCGACGAGCCGAATGCGGAAACGGCTTCGCGGAGAATAGAGACATTTCCCCCATGATTTATGGACATGCATGTGAAAGGTCTTGGGCTAACCTGAACGAATATCACGTCCTCTCTTCCGAAAAATGAAAACTGACTTGTCGGAGATCAGAGCCTAACTCAAAGTTCTATCAACTCTTTTCTTTTCCTTAAGCGGAACTTGGCCTGGCTCCCTAGAAGGAAATGCTACCCAAGATCCCTTACCACTTTTTTTTTTTTTTTTTTTTTTTTTAGGTGAGGTCGGCGTTTCGTAAATTGTGAGTGACAGACTTGAGTTTGGCTTCTTCCAGGCGCAATCCTAAGAGAGTATGCAGCCCTACTCGCACCGTGATGAACAAATCTACATTTCGCGATGAAGGCGCATCTGGCCGTTTCACAAGCCTACGACAAAGGCCGTAATACCCTCTCCTCTCTCGCCAGCTGGACTGGACCGTGGACCTCAGGAGCCGGCAACGTTCCACGGCGTCAAAATCATGGACCTTAGCCGCGCCAAGCGTGTGACGGCCTCGTCTCCTCTCCGGCACTTTCATTCTCGAGTATTCTTCTCAACTCAAGAGCAGAGGCCCTGTCATCGAAGGCCGAGGGAAGGGATGCAATGGCTAACCGCAGCCGCAGTACCAGCACCCAATGCATGTGTGTGCGTTTCCCTGTATGCGCCAACTCAGCTTCGGAACGGAAACTGGAGGACGGTCATCGCATTGCATTCTTCAAGGCAGCGTTCCAATCTGGGCAATTGCAGCCGAGTACAGCCACAGACACGGCACGTCGTCTGTGAGCGAGGAGGGATCGCCCTGAAATCTGTATCGATGCGTGCCTGGGAGAAGATCAGATCAGATAAGCAACACCCTCCTCCCCTGACTATCTGTGGCCCGATGTGATGTTCAAGGGTCTAGCCGAGAATATCACCTCTCACTTCGGGCGCGGCAAGTCCGCCGTGTCTCGTAACTTGGGGGGCCATTTTGTCTCTCCTCGATTGCAGACACAGGAACTAACTAACTGGTAACCAAAACCCCTTCCCTCCCCCGCGCCCTTCGCAAGCGAGCAACTTTTGTGCCACGCCGCCCCCCTCGCTTCCACCTTCCTCTTCCCTCCCGCCGCAGCCAGTTACGCAAGACAGTTGACTACTTGCTTTCCTTCGCATCGAGACCTATCTTCATGGGCCATCAACGCTCGGCGTAGCCGTGGGGCGGCCCGGCGAGGAGAGACGGCAGCTTGCTTTTAACATGTTTCGGTCGGTTGGTGACAGAGACATAAAACTCTATTTTGCTCGCACGGTAGCTTGGGGGGGGGGACTCGATCTGGCCGGGCAGATTATAGACGAGAGATAGACACCGGTCATCAATTCCTCTCTCGATTCCCCCATCCCTTTATTTCCCCTTTCCCTTCGGGGTGGGGAAGGGAAAGTGTTTATTACATCACAGCACAATTCTATTCCCACCCTGACCACCGCATCAACCCACTTCCCCCACACACAACCCATCCATTCTCATAACCCCACCCATCTATTCATATGTGTGTATGTATGTATGTATGCAAGCATATCTATACGTATGTATTCCCCGACCCGAAACCACCCCCGGCACGCTCCCCAGCCGGGCCACGGGGCCACGGGACAAGACCACGGCCCGCTCTGCGGTCGGCTACGGGCTGGTGGTGGATGGGGGAGTGGGAACCTGCACAGGCATGTATGTATGTACATACATAGATAGATTAGCCAAACCAGGGGCATTGCCTTTGCAGACGGGTTCCGGCGTGGGTTTATCGAATCTTGCACACGCAACACGCAACGCGCAGGGAGGGGGGGGGATGCAACGGGCGATGGCCGGCCGGCTGGCTGGCTGGCTGGGTGGCGGATGCTTCTTCTTTTTTTCTTGACATGGTGGCTGTGTATGTGATACCCCTCGAAATGGCTGGAATGAGATGTGCTGAGTCTGGGACGGGACAGGATGGCAAGTATAGGCAGGTATGGGATGGTCAGGAGTAAAAGAGCATTCAGGAACGGTACAGTGCGACAGTGCGAGGCGGACTGGAGGTCGGCGATGGGTACGTGACGAGAAACCTTGGCGTTTGCCGTTTCGCGTCTTTGCGTCTCTAAGTTTACCCGTGCGTTTACCATCACCGAGAGGATAATCAAGAGGTGCTTGTGCACTAGAATGTAGTATTTGTCGACGGGAAAAGCTGGCAGTCCCATTCCACTGCGCTCTCTCTGTACGCCTATCCGCTACCATATATATCGCCTCGCCCAATGCCTTTTGCCCTTCCTCCCAATTGCCCCCCTCTGACCCAAACCCCCTCCCCCTGTTCGCCCACTTCCTCTATTCACACGATTCCCCTAAAGAACACACTCCCGCCACACAACCGTCCGGAGGGGGGGAGAAGGACCCAAGCCAGCATACACTCCGTAGAAATAGCAAAGATAAAGTGGTAACTCCTGGGTTCCCGAAACCTGTGCCAGCCCCCGAATAACCAGGTAACAAAAAAGTCTGAGAAAAGGCGGGTATGGGGTATATACAAAATAGGTGACAGATAAAAAAGAATAAAGATTTCGCTCCTCTCTCTGAGCCAGGCGATGATCCAATGCAAGAATGATCTAGGCTGTCTAGACCTGGGTATTCCGAAATAGAAGAGAGGGAAGTGATATCAATCCGAAGACAAAAAGTACGGTGCCTGCCTTGGGGAACGAAACCACTCCTGCCCCAGCCCCGGCTGATTCAATCGGTGACTGGGTGGGGACAGAGCATGCGCTGTTGTGATGGTTCCGATCCCGAATGCAGGTTATTTTCGTTCATCCGTGGGTTTTGGCCGTAGCGATCTTTGGTCGAGCTGTCGCTTACGTTCCAGTTTCGCATAGTGAAGGCCGCAGGCGTTGCAAAGCGTCCTCGCGCCGTCGGGGCCGCGCCGCCATTCTGGCGTGTCGACCCGGTTACAGCTGTGGCACCGGCCGGGAGGGGCGGCGCGCTGTGAAGCAACGTGTTAGCGTCCTGCGCCGTTCGCTTGGGGAGACGAGGCTTGAGGTAGGGCAAAACTTACACCGCGCCGTTTCTTGACCTCATGCATCGCATACGGCGGCTTCATGCCGTCGCCGTACATTGAAACGTCCTCGTCGTCTGGGCTGCGGCCGCTGCTGTCTCGTGTGCGCTCGTTCTGAATGCGATTCTGCTGGACCATGTCCCGTACGTCTTCAAGCTTTTTGAGAGCGAAAACGAGGTTGTTCAGAAGCTCGCCTACTTCATTTTCTGTGGGCATCCTCGACGGAATTGGCTGCGAACCCTGCTGTTCCTGCGCTGCGGCCACGTACGCCTCGGCAAAATTGTAGCCTGTGCGGCAAGACCGCATTATCTACAACATGACATGTTAGTCGTTACGCTCCTTCTTCCTTGGTGTGACTCGAATCAAAAAACGTACTGCTTGCAGGGCATCCTGATACCCGTTTACTTGAAAGTGCTTGTCGAAGTTCGCCTTGTAATCAGACGGGCGGTGGTGCGCGTAATCGGCTTCCTCCCCGTAGGCAGGTGGCCGCTGTGCGTCATACGGCGACGGAAGCGGGGGGCCGGAATGCCTTGGGGAGATGGGATATGCCGATGCCGACAAGGGCAATTGCCCGGGTGGAAGCCGTCCTGTCTCCGCATACAAACCCGGGAGGTGTGGCGGCGGCGGCGGCCGATGGCCGGCGCTGAGGGATTGCGTTTCAGCCTGCCTTTGCTCCGCTTCGAGTTGCTCCAGCTTGACCGGAGGGGACGGTTGCTGTCCGGGGAAGGTGTTCAGCGGAGGTGGCACAGGCCGACTCGCTAGCCCGTGTCGGCCGGGATCGGAAAACGCGGGGAGGGTATCGGAGCGCGGAAACGTTGACGTCGGGTGTAACGCCCTAGGCGACGGGTTCTTATCTGTGCTCGTCATGTCTGAAAACGGCCTCGGTGGCGGGGCCGATGTGAAAGGCGATGGCAGGCCGGGGGCTTGGTGTATCGAGGCGGATGGCGGCGGCGGAGCGTACCCGAGCGATTTCCTCTCCGAGAATACTTCCGAGATGGAAGGCAAGGATTGCCGGTGAGAATGGCCTTGCTCAGACCCCTCCGAGGGCCTCCGGGGCTCGACCGGCGAGATCATGCCGGGCATGCCGGTGGTAGGGGCCGAGTAATGATAGCTGGAGCTGAACGAGTTGTGGTGTTGGTGTTGGTAGGGAGTGTTTGTGCTAACTAGCGGCGCGGTCGCCATGGTCGGTCCGTCCCTATATGATGTCTCGATGCGTTCCTTTGGTCGTTGGTCGTACTGCTCAGCGCCGTTGGAAGTTGGAATCCCACTACAAAACGGCCGACAGAGTTAGGGTCCGGGGATACGTGGAAACAAGCAATGTTCTTGACTCAGAAATATACAAACCTTTGCCTCTGTCCCGGCCCACCCGCTTCCATAGCGGGTCTCTTGTGTATTCCGTCAACGGTGTCCTCCTACAGCTTGACCACTCCCGGATGCCGTGACCATGCGAGCGCGTAGAAGCGGATAGATCGAAGAGGCGAGAGGCGAGAGCAATATCGTTCGATCGTGACGACGGGGGCAAATGGCCAAATCCTAGTTCCAAGCTCGCTTGCTTTCCTTGTCTTGTCTCGTCTTGTCTTGTCTTTTATTATTCTTTTTCTTTTTCTTTTCTTTCTTTTCTTTCTATTGTTCGTTGTCGAGAAGCCAGGGAATGCTCAAACTGCAATGCACTCTTGAGAAGCCAGCAAGTTGTGAATGGGCAGAATAGGTAAGGGTGCAGACCGAGAGGGAATCCGACAAGGCGGTGGCGGGTGCTGCGGTTTTGTGTGTTTCCTGTTTCTGTCAGGAGCTGATTTGACCTGGCCGTCTCGCCGTGCAAGGGGGGGCTGCAAGTCGGTCGTTCGGGGTCCACTCGCGCCATGGGCACTGTGTGGATAAGGGTGAGGGGCGATCGAGATCAGAGAGTGGATCCGCCCGGGCTCCCGTGGAAATGGTTTGTGGGAACGTGCCGTTCCCCCCCATTCGCTTGTCTCGCGGAGTCTGACCAGGTACCTCGACCGGGACCACCCCAGCAAGTCTCCCCGTCTTGTTTCTGCCGCAATGTGATGTGGAGTGGGGAACAGGGCCAAACACGCCAAGCCTTACATTTCGTGCCAGCCAGTTCGCTCCGTTGTTTAGGTTTGTTTGGGTATCGTGGACATCTCTTGTCAATTCGTACACTAGTATACTCCACTGTACTGAATGTAAGTACACGCACGCCCCGGGTCTCTCCCGAGCAGCGCCCCTTGGTTCACTGATTACCTAGGTAGTTATCGGTGAAGGTCTGCCGCAAAGGATTGCCGAACCAAAAGGAAATGGGAAAAGGAGGCCATTAGCCCCTCCCAAACTGTAACTATAAAACTTTGCCCTATAATGTAGGTACTGGGTGTAGACAAACATCGAGTCCAGCAAAGTCCTTGTCAAATTTCAGGACGGAGATCTGCCAGCGAGGAAGGCAGAAGAAGCGGACGATCGGGGCTGCAGGGGCATCGGCGAGATGCTGTACATGTGTGTACTGTCCAGTAGTTATACTCGTATGGAGGGCCATGCGCAGGGCATCGTGTCCGGGAACTGAAGGTGAGGAGCGGCGGTCGGAGGGTTGTGCTAAGTTGTCCATGCCCCAGTGCGCACGCATTACGGGATTCATGCGGCCTCCATCGCCAGCCTCGTGTCTCATTCCATCCTTTAGGCAAGCCTAACGTTAGTTACCGGGGTCCTAGATGAACTTGGGCAGTGCAGCCAGCAAAGCGCTAGGCACACAGTCAATCTTGTGCAGATGGGGAGCTTGCAGAAAAGGCGTGTAATCCGTGGGAACATGCGGCTGGGCCGTATTGTACCGTATTCGACCGTGTGTTCGGGCATTGGGCAAGGCGTACCAAGGAACCTGGAGCCGGGCATTTGGAAGAGATGCCAGGAAAATGCAACCCAGATTGCCCTGATGAGATTGGCGCGTGGGTGGGGGCCCGTCTTGGGACGGGAAAGGAAAGGGGGTCAAGGAGGCACAAAATCTCACCGGGCCAAGACGCTCGCTGGGGGGTGGTTTGCAAGTTGGGGTACCACCAGCCCGGGTGATCTCGATGTTTTCCGGCTGACGAAAACCCCAATCCCAGTCAGCCAGCCGATGGTGAGTGCGAGGTGCCAGGAGACGGGTGACCTGCAGGAGGAATGGGATTGCCGCACTCGCTGCCCCGAGGCTCGATCGAATGATATAGGGATACAGCTTCGTTCTCGATAAAGTTCTTGAGGTTGGGAGCCCTCGAAGCTTCGCGAGCCTGGAATGCATCGTGCACAGGCACGTAACAGTCGCAACTTTTTGCCGCCGAAACCCCAAAGACCGCCGCCACCGCCTGGTTTTGTTCTCCTGGATGCCATTTTATTAGGACCAACGAGGCAACTGCCGAGTCTACCATCTTGAAGGTCTTCGTCGTCTTCTGCCGCTCCCCACATGCATGTCAGATCTCGCCGTCGCTTCTCGATCGTCCGATCCGCGTGCATTGCACTGTGCTTCGGGCACCCAATAACTTGCCCAAGCCAAGGAAACGCCAGCTCCAGGCATCGAACGGAGGACTTCCGTAAGCAAGAGGGAATCATTTGCGGTGGCTTTGAGCAACACGGGAGGTTTGAGTGCTTTCAGGACGGGCAGCATTGTCAAAGGAAAGGCTTGTTTTCCTTGGGAGACAAGAACCGGGGACATCCTTTTTGACAATACTGCGCGGGCGCTGAATTGCCCAGCATACCGAGTCGGTGCATTGGTAGGATTTGACTCGTTGCGTTTTCTAGAACGAAATGTCTCATCCGCCAAGACAATATGGATGATTGCCTTCTCTATCCATCCCTCCAAGCACAGTGCCACGATACGGACAGTTACGAATAACACACTGACCGGGGCGCTCGATTAAGTTGGAGAAAAGCAAAGAGATGCTACCCGTTTCGGCGGTCGGCGGTCAAGCGGGACCCCGAAGAAATAACGGTCGACCCACACGGAAACTGGTGGGAATGTGAGCGATCTGCTGTCCGGGGGGGGTAGCCATCCAGCCATGGATCCTCGCCATCAGCGAACGGATGGCGCGGCAGTTGCAATTCGAACCTTTTGGCAGGAATTTTGAACCGACGGCGTACTGTCTCGAGACGGGTGTGGAACTTTCCCAAATGCCGGGAACTTCGAGGCTTGGAACAAGCGCCGCGTGTGCGACGTTTCCAAACGCAACATGTTTTGGGCAGCGTGGCAGTCGGAACGGACGTGCTGTGTGGTGCAGGCGAGAGTCATTGGGCGAACGAGGCACGCGAGGCTGGCTCGATCGGATCTTGCGGTGTCCCCGCGAGACGGTTGTTCCCACGGCAAGGGTCACGAGATAAAAGGGCGGAGCCAATTTTGGTCGATGACACGGCGTGGTGGGAGGTGTCGCGCGCTAGCCTCGGCGCGGCCAAGGTTTGGGGGTTGGCTTTCCTCGCTAATCGAACGGTTGCATCGGGGCCTCATAATGTGAAGGCAGATCCGAGAGGCATGCTGGGCATTGTTGCCGGATGGGAGACCCAAAGAACCAACAGGCTGCAGGACGACCGAGGGATACTCCACTCCAAGGTCAGCCAATGGGATCACTCCAGATAAAATGCACGGAACCAGGGCAGCCTAGGTACCCTGGCATTACCGCTGCACCGCTGCACTGCTGCACCGTTCTGCCCAAAAGCATGAAACACACGAAATGGACGCCAGGAAACGAAACTCGTCATTACCGGCGAGTCTCAGATCAGCACTGGATGGAACGCCCGTCGGCATTGAAGTCCAGAGTCGGCATATCCCGAGCGAGCGACACTCAGCAGAGGTGGCGAGCAAATAATTAGTTGTTTTATTACTCACTAACTACGGGATACAAGCGCTATTCCATCATTGGCGTTCGCTGTTGTTTTCGATAGCCTGGAGAAAACCCACAAAAGAGCCAGGCGTCACATGGGAAGACAAATAACTAACTCCCACACCAAGCCACACCCGACTCCGCAATCCAAACACCCGGTCCGGATGAATAGCTCATGGCGATTCCCGGGCGAGATGCCCACCAAATTGGGAAACTCGTTTATCAGCTCGCGAGATCTTGGGACCATCGTCATTTCGGAGATGAGAGCTTCGATGGCCTGACCCGCATTGTTCGACACGTGCGACGCACCCCACCACACCACGCACGCCCGAACCGCGAACCGCCGATGCTAAAAATACTCTTGTCTGGCACACACGGGTTCGGGAGACGATCTCGTTCGCCGTTGTGCGCGCCTGTCAAAAATCGAGGCTCGCCAAACTCGGGACAAAAGAATTTCCTGCCATTTCCCTCAGTTCCAAGGGAACTTACTGTGTACGAGTATGGCTGGCCGAAGCCGCACCATCTCATCTCGAGCCCATGTCCCGCTGTTTCCTCGAGTGCTATGAAGCTTTGACCTCGGCCCACTTCTATTGTGACAGAGCTGACTTCAACGGGAGAACACCCGGCTTCGAGCTAGGGGGGGACGGAGGGAGGGACGGGGGGCAACACATCCCATGTCCTGGGAACGGAACGCTGGAACATGGGATGTGGAGACTCGAAATCCCATTCTCACACATAACATTCCACGGATACCCCGATTAGTACGAAGCACGGGTTCTTTGTTAGGCAACCTCTTCGAAACACACAGGCTCGGCTGGAGTGCGGATGATGGCTTAGTTATCTGGCCCCAAGAAGGCGTCTTCAAGAGCTGCCCGCGCGGCTGGCCTTGCATGATGTTGATACAAAGTACTTCGTACACATTACATGTACCGGTACTGTGCATGCGATGTGCACAGCACGACACCACATGACGGAGATGGACCCCGGTCCGAAGGATGATGGAATCCCGCACCGTTCCAACATCCCACACCTCGCCTGTGTGGGCGGTGGGTGAACTCGCGGGAGAGAGACCCAAATCCGCCGAGAGCATGTCGGCAATCAAAACCTGGCCGATCAGCCTGTCGCAGGACGAGACATTCGTTGGTCATAACGGGCGCCTCATCACCACCGAACCAAAAAACCACAAAACCACATGGGGGCGACTCGGGCGATCGCATCCTGCCCATTCTACGGGACCGCGGGATGGGCCCCTGCGATCGGGAATGGTTCCTGAATGGGCAAAGACAGCCTTGGGCAAGGGGGGGCAGAACGTGGCCAGCCCTGCCATTGGCCCCGGGGCACACAGCCGCGTCCCAGGATCAGGCGATGACTGCAGGAAATCACATCTCACAACCCTCCCGCTGGGTTCATCCGAGCGGGTCCGCTACCGATGTCGCTCCTGCGCTATCACTGCGTCCTGTGCAATCGAATGCCAGCATGACAGACGCTAACGTCCAGCCCGGCCTTCAACACGGTGTGGGATTCTTGCCCATGGGCCCGCTCCCTCCCGGCCAACGTTCGCTCACTGGCTCCCCCCCCGAGCCCCACTCCCCCCGGGGTTGTTCGTCTTTGTCCCATGCATCGGCTGGCAAACGTCAGATTGGCCCGCAGCATGATGGGCCATGTCAGATACAGTCGCCGATGGGGTTGCATCGTGCCTGCTCCTGCGTCCAACAAACCAGCAATTTATCTGATCCCTCCTCCTCCTGTCCATTGCCCGCATGACGAGATGCCGTCACCACCTACCACTCGGACAACTCTCTCGTCACAGTCACAGGCGAAATGGGTCCTGTGTGCCCGGATGTTCTGCCATGTGGCATTGTCTGAGCCGATCGAACAGCCAGGGCATTCTGTCAGCTCGACGACACCAACAGGACTGCAAGCGCTTGAGGGCCACCACCACCCCCATATCCGACCCATGACGAGGCCCCCAGCCCCCCAACAAGCCGTCCCAGACACGGGCTCGTTAGTTGCCCCAGCATGGCTCAAACAATATCGTCGTCTGAGTGAGCGATTATACACCAGACAGCTAAATTACTTGCCCACCACCCCTTTCGGGAACCTCTTGTCTGTTCACCGATAACTACCCGACGATCTCAACTGTGCCTCTCCTGGAAGATTCGAAAGTCCAGTTTTCCGCTCGCGCCACCGCCGGATGCGTAGAGAACGCCGGTTCGCGAAGCTCTTTCACAGAGGGCAGTGATAACTCTTGTAGACACGGGGCCAAGCAACCAACCAGCCACCCACCCCTGTTGCGATCCGATCTCGATGGGCATTTTGACAGATGGCGCAGTCTTCAGCCTTCCGGAACAAGCGCCAACATTGGAACCAAGCATATGTGCTCCCACTTTTTGTAAAGATCCTGCCCCCGGCGCTATCGTGTTTCCCAACGTAATCTTGGGCACCATCGGTCCTTATATTTCAGCCTGAACACGAGATGCGCGTCGGACGAACAAGGCGAGCGCCGCATCTTGCTTCCCACTTGATCTCTTCGCCCCTACCCCACAGACACGCCTCCGATTTCCGATCGCCTGATCGGAAGGAACTTTAGATCCCCCGCCCCGCCCCGTTGTTGCCCGAGGTCGCTCGGGGGAAAACCGATCAGCGAGCAGTCTGACCTCAGGTTCCCTTGGCGTCGGTACACTGGCGGCGCCTGGCTTGACACAAATGGTTACGGCGGCTAGCAACTGGACGGTTGTGATTACGAGTGCCACACGCTGCGCATCCAAACCTTTGCGGAAGAATGCCACGAAATCCAACCAGTCGATGCGCTGTTTACGACCCGTGCTGCCCTTCACACTCCAGGGTAGTTACACGAACTCATTCCGCAGTTGAAGCCCCGATGCTGGTTAGTTATGTTCCGAGCACTTGCACGCCACAAATGTCAGTCGGAGATTTTCATACATTAGTCAATGTTGTGCGAAGGTAAGCGAGTGCTCGCCCAACGCCCATCGGGTGAATCACCTAAATTGTCACCCATTTGTCGTTGGACAGCACCCAAGGTTCCTCTGGGGGGGGTCCTCGCCGGGGACTTTTTCCGACCACGGGAAAGACAGCGTGGGACTTCTGGGCTGCAGTCTGCCTCGAGAATGGTCTCACCTGCAGCTCTGTCATTGGCCACGAGAGGTCTTGACATCTGCGAACCGTGCCCGGTAGGCTTGATCACCCTGGTTGTGCCTCGTGGTCGATGCCTTGCTGTGCACAAGCGGTCCGAGACCGACTGATGAGAACGAGGGAAGTTGGGAACTCAGGTGTGACCAGTTCCCATTTCCGTCTTTGGCCTCCCGGCCGAGGGCTGAGGAAGGAGGCGAAATGAAGAGCACCAATGTTGGTTGCTGGCGTGAATTTTCATACATACAAGTGGCGCCCCGTCTTCAGTCCATCGACCCATGGGATCGCGCCCCCATCATGGCCAAGACGGAAATCGAGAGATCTTGTCATGGTCCGCAAGAATCCCAGAAAGCCGGCGACACTTAAATTAGCGTTGCGAGGACTCCACATCAGGGTCCTGTTAGCAGCGCCATTTTATACAAGCGGGCAAGTCTTGTCTCACTA